ATAGAATAATTACCTTTTGCCAAATTCGTTTTCAATAATATTATATCAGAAATCATTAGTTATTTTTATTTTTTACAAATTATAGATTCAATCTATAGTTAGATATTGAATTTAGTAAACCTTGCCTTTTAGATATAATAATAATACAGAAATAGGAATTCTTTAAAGGAAACAAGATAGCCAATTAGATAGAGAAGATATTAGAATAATTCAAGACTCTTACAAATCAGATAATTATTACATATAAGGAATATACAAATTGATATTATTCAGATTTCCTATAATACACTATTGAACAATAAGTCTATATTAATATAAAGAATATAAAGACTTTTCGGAAAGTTAAGAAATTAAATAATAAATAGATTAGATCATTTGTAATCGAGAAGATATATCCCTGTTTTTGTTTAATCAAATTATTTGAAAACATATGAATTTTCCTAGTATTTTTATTATTCATTATTAATCCCTACTCACTAAAAGCCTCATTTCTCTGACCAGAAAAAAATCAATAAATCGGAATCCCGAACTATTTGTAATAGAGTTCTTGAATATAACAATGGAGAAATAGAATCTATTCAGAAGTGAATCTTTGAAAAAATTCTTGATAACTACAATAAAAATGATTATTATTACTTAATGAAATAGAGACATTATACTTCGATCTAGCAACCAGCATTTAATTTGAAAGGAAATAAAAAGCTTCTGATAGAGTATTATATATTGCACCCAAAAGAACCTAGTTTATTAATCTAGATTCTTCAAAACCCTATTACAAAAAGACTTTTTGTTTTAGCAAAAGTATTAACTATACAAGTATTATTGCTTACCAAACCTGAACTATAATACTTTATTAGAGAAAGAAAACTATAAGTTAATAATATCGAATTAAAGAAAAATATTTAATTCAATAATTATACTTATATAATAATCTTTAATGATTATGGTTTTGATAATGAATAATAAATAAAATAGAAGAATTAGAATATATAATAATAATAGTTTGATATAACTTGTTATAAGAAACAAAAGACTTTATGTTATCTACTACATTGTATATTTGTTTGAGAATAAACAAGATTTGAAAAGAAAGGGTACTATTATAGGTTCACTATCCGTTTCTAACTAGTTCGGATAAATGCCTTAGGCATTCATCCACTATATAATCATCGTCGCTTTGCGCGCCTCCTTCTCTCCTTGTCGAATATTATATATCTTACCTAGTACCCCACCAGAACCCGTATCAGCCCCGTGATACTAAGTATATTAGTAGACTATCTCTAATTATATATATTTATCACTCGCTTAGGCCCTAACTCTTCTCGTATATCTGACTAAAATCCGATATTCGATATATAATTAGAAAATCGACTAAGATCTCATTTAGTTTTCATTATTTGTATTTAAAACTAGTCTTGTAAAATATTAATTTAGAGTTATAATATACGAGTAACATAGTAGTATATTAGTAGATATCTATAATTCTAATATCAATATTAGTAAGAGAATTAGATAGTAGATATAGTATTACAGTATCCCCGATATGATTATAAACTAGACTAGAAGACGGCCTCACAGTTGCTGAATAGTAATAAGATTAATAGCTCGCTTGAAAACGTCTAGTTGCTATATTATATATAACTAGTCTCTGGAGTAGTATCTAACTTGAATATACAATATTCAATATCCAATATCTATATAATGTATACTCATTATATAGTATCGATGATTCCTAGCGAGGCAGCTTTCCAAGCTATTAGAGTACGACTATTATATATTATTAAATATTAAAAACTCTTTGAAGAGAATGTACTACGAATACTATGTTATTCGCAGGATTAGTTATCGAGCCTGGTTTATAGATCGATTATATGATATGTATGCTATACCGTGACCGTGGCGAGATAGATTTGTCGCTTGTTTACTCGCTAGCGCTATGTATTGTGATCTTGTTTGTACTAATATACTCGAGTATAATACCAAGTCATAAGTGGAATTGAAAAAAATCTAGTGTAAGGAGGGTACTTTGTATGTATGTATATATCAAAGCTTAACTTGCCACAGGTAAATTGAATTCACCCCCACAACCCAACATGCAATCTCCACAAAATCACCCTTCCCACCTCCTACATCCCACATCCCACAACATCAGACCCTACACAAAGCTCCTCCATTCCCCACCCCCCAAGAATCATCACTCCCCACCGCCGCCACCGCCCAAAACAGATTCCCCGAATCATACCTCCTCTTCACCCTCAACAACTCCTCATAATTTCCCCCAAAATAATCTTCTTTCCACTCCACATTATCCCACGTCGCCTCATTCATATAGGCGCCCGCCCCAGGCGTCAGAGCACGCAGTTCCTCCTGCCACCTATTCAACAGTGCCTGATTATCACGTATCTCCTCTCGGCTCGCATTCGCCGCCAGCGGCGATGAAAACGCTGCGGAGAATAGCGCATTGCGCCACGATGGCAATACCGAATTGCGCGTGTAGTTTGCGTGTAAGATGTTGGCTGCGGTGAGGAATATAGTGCCGCCGGTATGGGTAATGCCGCGGAAAGCGGAGATGATTGCGGGGAGAGCAGTGCTTGTATCTTGGACTGTTGAGCGTGGAATATTGCGCCCGCCAATGGTAATGTTGCTCGTATATGCTTGCAGAATCGAAAACTCGTAGTAATCGGCGAAACTGGTGTGGATGTTTGCTGTGTAGTTTTTGGCAAGTGAGATGTTGAGGTCCGCAAGTTTGCTGAAGAATGAGGCGAGAGCATTGTCTATTTTATCTGTGGTGGTAACATCTGGCAGCGTGGCGGATTCTAGCGAGAATCCCTCGGCTGTAATGGCAGAGACAGTTGTTAAACCATCGATAGTATCGAGTACGAGCAGAGTTTGTAACCAGTCATTAATAGCAGCCCAATACGCCGTGCTATTCCCATTATCAACGAAAGAGAAAGCGGCTCCCGCCACTGGACCTTCAGGATAAACCCTCACCTTCATCGAAAGCACCACTGCGAAATTCCCGGCACCCCCACCACTCAATGCCCAATACAAGTCCGCATAATGCACTGGTGAGACAGTCAGATGCTCCCCTGCGGCAGTCACTACCTCCCACTCCAACACCTGATCGGCTCCCAGTCCATATGCCGAGGCGAGAGGTCCATGACCACCACCTTGAGTAAAACCACCTGTTAAGCCGACGGTGGAACACGAGCCGCTCACGACACGATACCCATGCTTTCTAGCCACTGGATGCAAATCAGAATATCGAACGCCGGCACCGATGTGGACTGCAGGTCCCGTGTATAAAGTGCTACTATAGTTGAGAAAGATTGTTTCATCGAGATTGTGCATCCACAAAGCCAACGAACCTGCACCTGTCGATCGTCCGAGGAAATCATGTCCCGTATTTTTAATCGTGAGCCGTATATTATTATCGTGTACAAATCGAAGACCCGCCATAACATCTTCAGCGTTACTGATATTCAGGGCATAAGACGCGAGGTTGCCTAGAACACAGGAACTATTTGGCCGGAAAGCGCGTTGCAGGAATTATTCATCCAATATGGAGACATGATATTGACGGGATCAGCTTCACTTGGCCAACATCAATTTCGGATCAATCATCTATCACGTTTCCTTTCGACTTACAATGGCGATAGCATAATCCATTCCTCCCGTATTTGAGAGCATTTTGTAACGTCCAGATGAGGCTCGTAGCAAGGCTGGCCTAATGGTACACCACGAATAAGTCTGCCTTCAACTGTTTGATTCAAATTATTCCAAACTGTTTGGTTAGGCCATGCGGGGTCGCTTGGAAGGTATCGACATTTTGGTCCGTGGGAGGGAAGGGATGGATAATTATTGGTGCTTGAAGATGCGTTTCCCAGAGGTAATATAACGAGGACAGTGATGACACTTATAAAACTGAGCATTTTATATATAAAAAAACGATACATACAATACTTTCTATGAGTTTATTGAAACAACACAGCTTGCTTTGATTTATTTATATTCATCTCCATTGAGATTTATATTAGTTCATATGCACATCAGTGTTGTCGGTAAGGAGGCTGCTTTTACATATGCATATGCATGTACAAGGAAAGATAATATGCGTCTGAGCATCTCCGTATAGGGCCTGTATTGAAAGATTCCATGAATTATGATAGAATAAAAAGAGAATCAAAATATATTCTTCAATTGTCTAGTAAACGTTTCGTGGCAACACCAGCATCTTGGTAATGCTAAGAAGTCCCAAAAATTATGGATTGGTTTCCGATAAATGCTGACCAGTCTAGGAGGATGATATATTGTCCAATCGCCCCGAGTAAAGAATCAGTGTATGGCCCACAAACACGTAGCGTGGGCGGTTGCAGAATTTTGAATCACTTTGCTTCTCAACCAGCTTTTCCTATTTTCACACCACTGTGCCATCGAGCTTGTTATCGCAATACCCTTTTTGTCTCCATAAAGCAAGCGTCATAATCATGGCCGTATGTCTGCCACCTCTAGGTCCTCCCGAGCTTCACGAAGGATTTTCTTAATCGAAGAGTACAATTTTGGATTCGTTGCATATTCGTTTCTCCATCTTTGACAATTCGGGAATACCACCATTCTCAGTTTAGCAACCCATCGGACCAATGGCCGGTAGTATGGTGTAAATTGTTCTTCTGCATGTGGAAGAAAATCTAGATTGGCAATCCTACCTGTCTTCATAATGCCAAGATCTCTGTCGTCCATATATTTCCAATTTTCAAATCCAGTTGAACCAGTTGAACCAATATCCTTGCCCGGCTCATTGTAGTGAATGCATATCCAATGGAGTACCCAGAAAAACGATTCGAGATCATGCATAAATGAGTGTGGTTCGGTCCAAAGAAGAACCCCAATGGGCATGAACACTCTTGTACCAGTCTTCCTCTTCACAAGAGAGGAACCCTTCCGATCCTCTTTGGTGGCTAAATCAAGGTCGTTCAAGGATGTAGAGCACAAAGGATTCTTTTCATCTTCATTTATCAGATTGTTGATTGATATATCTTTGTGAAGGAAGCCAGCTTTATATATAGCTTCAAGTCCTTCTATAAAAGCTTCCAATGTAGTCAGAAAAGCTATTAGGGAGCTTGCTGCACAAACAGATCTTTCATAGTCACGAAGAATAACTCGCCCGTATATCTGATTCGGAGGCGGCTCATTATTATCTTTAGTCGGAGATGCCGAAGAACATGCTAAACGGGTTCGCTTGCTGGGTGGTGGGGACGGCATAAGCATTCTAGTCTGGCTGAATGATCGTTTCTGGCCGGTATTGCCTAAAGAATCGGTTGTATCCATGTCCTGAGGAATGATCGAGCGTTCCCGTGGGTAGTTTGATGCTTTGATTGACAAACTGAGGTTGATGTTATGAGCTGCAAAGGCCATTTGAACCTTACTTATTCTAATTCTCGGTTGTTAGTATGCTAGACCAGCAATACTGCCTGAGGCAGGAGACGCGGATTGTACTCGAGTATTTGTTATTGATTGAATATATAATTCAATAACAAATATAATATTATTGAATATTATTGAATAATTCTT